CCCGCCCCGCCCAAACGGGAGACCCTACACCATTTCTGACAGATGGCAGTCTGGTCTCTTCTTGAAAACCTCCAGGGTTTCCACTATAGAATTACCAGAGTTGGAAGGGATCTTGGAGGTCATCTAGTCCAACCCCGCCCCCAAAGGAGACCCGTACACCATTTCTGGTTGATTGTTCTAACTCTCAGGAAATTTCTCCTTAATTCTTAGTTGCTTCTCTCCTTGATTAGTTTCCATCCATTGCTTCTTGTTCTACCCTCAGGTGCTTTGGAAAATAGCTTGACTCCCTCTTCTTTGGGGCAACCCCTGAGATGTTAGAAGGCTTCTATCACGTCTCCCCTGGTCCTTCGTTTCATTAAACTAGACATACCCAGTTCCTGCAACCCTTCGTTCTTCCTATGTTTTAGCCTCCAGTCCCCTAATCCCTTTAATCCTCTTTAATCAAGTGTTTTAGCCACTGCATCCCTATACTAAGAGTAGGCTAAATTAAAAAAGCAATAATTTGATCCATAGACCCTGATCAATTGAGAGCCAGTTTAGCCTAGTGGTTAAGGCACCAGAACAGAACTGAGTGGCGGTGAATTAATCATGAAAGCCGGCTGGGTGATTTTGGTCCCCAAGAGACAGTTGAGTTCTAGTCCTGCCTTTAGTTGTGGGGAAAAAAATGGATGACCTTGGGGAAGGCATTCTCTCTCAGCCTGGCCTACCTCACAGGGCTGTTGCACGGAGGTAAAATAGGGAGGAAAAAAGTTGTTGTTTCGCTGCCTTCGGTTGTTTAGTAAAAAAGAATCAAGGTGGGATATAAAATAAATAAAATAAACGTGATCGATTTAAACTTTTGTATATGGACAACTTCCCCGTAACAATTCCATTAAGGCAAGGGTTTAAAGTTAATTTGTTTTGCAATTTCAGATTTACTAAACAGACAAATGGGGTCCTTGTTTACAATGAATCCTTATTTTGAATTCATCCCACAACTAAATCCAATAGGAAAAAAATAAGGAATTTCAAAATGATAATATTTGTGAAGAGTTTGCCTAGATGAATAGGGAAGGTTTGGATTATTTTACACCCGGCCTTTTCTTTTTCAAAACGCTTTGTTCAATTAAAAACCTCGCCTTAGCTGGCAATTATTTTGATTTGGTCCCCCCACGTGCCCTCTTACTACTATTCCCGAAAGCGTCCTACGCAGTCGGAGCAACCAGCGCCCGTCTCCTTGCGTTGAGGTCCCAGCTCCTGTACGCAACCTGCGGGACAGCCGTTCGCCCGTTGCGCTATCGGCGCGGGGAGTTCCTTTTGCCATTCCGAAGCTGTTCTTAGAGCGCCCCCTGGAGGCGCCTTTGGGCGTCCCGGTACGCTCTTTGCGTTACCTGCCCGTTCCTGAAACGCCTATTCAGAGACGGCACTTACGCTCGTCGCCTAAGGGGTGGTGGCTCTTTATACCGGGACGTACGTCGCGCTTGTGGAGCCACTCACCTCACCGCCGCCTCGGGCACCTAACTGCCTCTTCCCAGGGGCCGCTTTCGGGTTTGAAGCCCTCCAAGACGGCCGCTTCGCATCAGCTCCCTTAGGCCTGGTCGCAGCACCTCGGCTGCGCCGCCATCTTGGAATCCGCCTCTCAAAGGGTCCGGGACTTTTTCCTCCCAGGCGGGCAAGGGCAGGGATTGCTCCGCGCCGCCACCCGCCTCCGGGGCGCAGCACAAGGGGGACCTCCGAGAGCGGGTGGGGGAGTGAAGGGTCATGCTAAGCGCTGGTATCACTCCGCGGGAAAGAGTCCCGAGGCTCAGTCCTTCTGACGCCCCATTGGAAGCATAGCTTCCCCCCACCCCACCTTCCAGTCGTTCCTGTCTCTCTAGGGCAACCTCCCCTTCCCAAGTTGGTGCCTCCAGAGGGTTGGAACTACAACTCCCATCTCCCAGGTTATCAGGGTGATAGGGGAGTTACAGTATATAATGTATCTACTCAGTCCTTCTGATGCCCCATTGAAAGCTGAGCCCTTCCCTCCAGTCATTCCTGCCTATTTGTCCCCCAAGTTGGTGCCTCCAGAGCAGGGGGGTCTCCAACCTTGGCAACTTGAAGGCTTGTGGACTTCAACTCCCACAATTCCTCAGCCAGCTGGCGGTTGAAGTCCCCAAGTCTTAAGGTTGCCCTGTTCCAGAGGGTTGGACTACAACTCCCATCTCCCCAGCTGGCAGGTGGGAGAGGAGCTCTAGTCCAACACATCTACTCAGTCCTTCTATCGCAGTGTTTCTCAACCTTGGCAACTTGAAGATGTCTGGACTTCAAGTCCCAGAATTCCCCAGCCAGCATTCGCTG